CCTCTGACATGAGCTGACAAGAACCTTTCAGCTTAGAGGCATCTTTAGGAATTGGAGGTTTGTCGCAGAAATCTAGACGTTTCTATTTAATGGAGTGTGTACGAGCTGGAAAACGTGTGCCAAATATACAACATATTTCAATTTGTAGGCAATATGTGCAAAGTGTTCCTATGAAAAAAATTGAACGGTGTTGACAAGTGTCCCATTACGACGGTTCGGGGGCTCTCTGATTTCATGTAGTATAAGAATATTTTCGAGCTCAGTGTATTTTCCAAGTCTGAGCCGTGAGATGGATGCCGCTAAGAGACTAATGGAGCTTTGAAATCTATCTATCATTTATTTAAATACACCACACGGTGCACACACAGAACTTGATCACTCAAGAGAACTCGGGAGCATAAGGCTATAGGTCCGACAAGTGTTATCTCTAAATAAGTTATAAAGTAAATATTCATTCATCCATTCATTCATTCGAAGACTTGACTAGGAAGCTTTCAAGCACGGAGTGACAGAAGAACGCCGTTCAGTTGGGGTTATGTCATCTTGCCCAGCAAGTAGTTTGAACATCGGCGTAAACTTGAGTTCGCCGTCATAGGATGCTGAGTAACTGTGCTTACTGCCCACAACCACAGCAGATAATTAGGCAGGAAAGCCTGTAGCAGCAGAGTAAGATTTGTCGGGCCAGTTGGTCAACGTCAATGGGATACATAGTAGCACAAACTTGAACAACGCAGATCAGAGAAAAGAAAAGGGTTAGAGCAGAAAGGTAGCGCCCGAGCTCTTCCTCCTATGTCTTTTCTCTTATCGGTGTTTTCGAAGTTTGCGTGACTTGGTACCTCATTAAACGTGTACCAATGCTAGAATTGTCCACTCTGCCCGAGTTTGAGCTTAACCTCACCACTCAAGAACAGGCGACTTGCACAGTACACAAGCTGAGCATAAACAGATAGATATAAAGACATGATGGCCTATAGGCTATGAAACAGCAGCGGTAATCACACTCAAGTCGCAATTGTGCAACTGTTTTTTTTTTTCGCTTTGTGTGTTTTTTGTGGTCCTGATAGTACTCACTGCTGGGAGTGTGCAGATGTGTGTTGTCTGATATAAAACGGGTCTTTCGACAATAAAGCATTGGTTGCAGTACAGCCCTTGTGTTATCATCGATTTGTCAGCGTGTGGTTGTGTCCTTTTTTGCGCTGCTCATAATAACGTTGCTCACCAACTAGCCCATCAGTATTTTTACGTTCCCCCGATGCATACTTCGATAAAATAGAAGCGTTGTTGAACGTAGGTGGCCAGCCGCACGTGTTGCTACAAAGTAAAAGCTTTAATTTGGCCCTGTAGCTTGCCAATACACTTTCATTCAAGTATTTACACATTGGTAAATCCGACCACACAGTAACCTTGAAAAGTCCGCAAAAGCAGTTGCTTCTAAGCGAGTGCGAATTATTGGTAATATAAAAATGTTCGAAGTAAATTGCCGGTAAAACAATTGTGTGTTCTCAAAGCATTTGTTAACACACTGCCATTCATACTCAACAACAGGCACTATCTGACGAAGAAATAATTTGGCACAGTTCATTGTTCTCTTTCTCTCTGGGCATAAGGCCGCGTTCACACTGAGCATTCCGGCCGCCGAAAGTGCTCCGAATCCGGTTCGGCGGCGGCAAGATCCGCCGAAAGGGCCCTCTCCGCGCCGGTCACTCTCGGACCGATTTTTGCGGCGTCTGCCGCGAATCGGTCACCGTGGACCAATAGGAGCGCTAGTCAAGAATTTTGAAAAATGGCGGCCAAGCCCTACTCGTTATGCCGCACTGCACGTAACTGAATGTTGAAACCAACGAGAGTTTAACCAGCTTTGTGTCTACTTCGCCTCCGTATTTCGTGAAAGAGGTGACCGAGCTTGCTGTGGGCGTGAGCGAGCTTGTTCCGGTCTTGCAGAACAAAACGAACCCACCAACGCCGCTGGCGTCGGTGTTTTTTCTGCTCTTCGTGCATTACAACACAGCCACTTGCCAGCAAAGTAAGCAGTACTGTCTTTTTTTTTCCTTCTTGCGTACGAGAATTGTCGAAGTATACACCACCGGATAGTGTAGTGGCGTTTGCGAGCCGCGACAACAACCGGGTGACAGCGCACCCATTCCGCGTTCGCCCCGTAGTAGATAGCATATTCGGCAGCACGGGGCGCGTCCAGTGCGAACTACGCTGCATTTCGGCGGCAGGGGAATTTCAGTCGCTGCAGAAAGCGGATGTTTCAGTGTGAACTAGGCGTAAGAGACGTGATTTTCATTTTGCCGGAGCCAGCATTTCTGCACTCATTGTTGAAACATAATCGCGTAATCCTTTAAAAACATTTTTTTGAACAATGACACCATTATCAAGATTGTTTTTTTTTTTTGTGGGCTATATGCTAGGACTGCTGCAGCGTCGCCCGTCTTCTTTGGGCTTTCTGAAGGGGGCTTTCGACAATGTTAAACACAGCAGCATCCTGGCTAACTTGAGCTCCACCGATTGCGGGGCTAAGGCCTTTGCATATGTCAGAGAATTTCTCTCTAAACGCCAGGCACTTCTTCGAATCGACGACGAGGAATATGGCCCGTACATTATGGGAACACGGGGTACCCCACAGGGAGCAGTGTTATCACCGCTCCTTTGCAACATTGCTATGATGCGCCTTCCAAGCGAATTGGCCAGGGTGGAAGGCACACAACACGCAGTATATGCCGACGATATTAAAATCTGGACCACTGAAGGGAGCCTTGGTGAAATGCAGGAACGCCTTCAGCAGGCCGCATCCATAGTCAAGGCGTATGCCAACGATTGTGGACTCCAATGTGCTCCAAACAAATCAGAGCTTCTGCACGTTAGAGCGAAGCCAAGAGATAAGTCAGCCATACACATCTCCCTGTCTGGGGTTCCCATCAGAGAGGTGGAGGAGCTCCGGATTCTGGGCCTGTTCATTCACCACAGACTCAGACCGGACTCCACTATAGCGAAACTCAAGAGAATAGGCGAACAGGTAGGGCGCATGATCCACCGAGTTTCCAACAAGCGGGGTGGTCTGCGGGGCAGAGACGCGCTTCGGCTCGCCCATGCCTTCGTGACTAGCCGGATCCTCTACGCCGTCCCATACCTTCGCCCTAACAAGCAAGAAGACGAAATAATAGATGCCGTCATTCGTAAGGCTACTAAACGAGCTCTGGATCTCCCGGTGGCTACTTCCAACGCCAAACTGAGGGCGTTAGGTGTGCTCAACTCCTACCAGGAGTTGCGGGAGGCCCACCTTATGAATCAATATACGCGGCTCGTGCAGACGGCTCCCGGGCGCCGCCTGCTAAACCGCTTACATATACAGCACACTTGCACTGCAGAGGAGGCGGAGCGTATTCCGGAACTGTGGCGGCATGTGCTCTCGGTCTCTCCACTCCCCAGTAACATGAATAAGCACACGCACGAAAGCAGAAGACAGGCGCGGGCTCGGACGCTTGAGAGGCAACACGGCTCCCGACCTGGTGTATTCTACGTAGACATATCAGGTTCTTCGCCCATGGGATTTTACACGGCCTCTGTAGTTCACCGGGAAAAGCATGTCAATGGGCTCTCGTTCCGAGCACAAAATCCAGAGCGGGCTGAGGAAGTCGCGATAGCGCTTGCTGCTGCGGACTCCAACTCGAAAGTTATCATCACGGACTCCCGGAAAGCATGTGCTCATTACTTGGTAGGAGAGATATCCCCCCTAGCCAGCCAAATTCTAAAACGGGCTCTCACTGATCCAGCCCCGAAACGCATCGTATGGGCTCCTGGCCATCCGGGCATACGAGGTAATGAGGCCACTGACGCGGCCGCCCGAGCGCTTACCCACCGGGCTCCTCACCTTGGCTCTTATGACTCGGAGGCCAATACACCGCTGCTGCGGTTCAAAGAAATTCTGACCTGTTATCGCGACCCTCACCGCCTTTACCCGGCTCTTTAAAGGGGCTGAGTAAGGCGGAAGAGCGAACTCTAAGGCGCCTGCAGACAGGTACTCTACTCTGTCCTGCAATCCTAAACATTTCGATGCGAACACAAGTGGGCGGTGCCCACACTGTGGGGAGACGCGTGATATCTTCCACATGGTATGGGCATGTCCGAAAAATCCCCACCTACCCCCTTCCCCTACCCCTTCCCGAGAGGCATGGGAGACTGCCCTCCTCAACTGCTCATCACTAGAGTCTCAACGGGCTCTGGTGAGACGGGCGCGAGTAGGGGCCTCGTCATGCGGTGTCCCGGACTAAGGACGCCGGCCATGTAGCGGGGTCATGCTTTGACCCCGTACCTCTCTCTTTTATAATAAATGTTTTTCATCATCATCATCATCTTCTCTGGGCATGCACCGTCCGACAGACTTCATCTCGCTTAACTTGTTAGATGGTGTAGCGGGGTCAGACACCAATACTGGACGAGAGATTTGAATATTCTAGCTGCAACAATACTGGGCCCGTGTTCACGAAATGTTCTCATGTTTTGAATCTTTGTAAGACACGTTTTTTGGCTACCCCGCCACGGTGGTCGAGTGGCTAAGGTACTTGGCTGCTAATTTGCAGATCACTGGATTGAATCGTGGCTGCGGCGGCTGCATTTTCGATGGACGCGAAGATGCTGTACGCACGTGTGCTTAGATTTGGGTGCATGTTAAAGAACCCCGGGTGGTATAAACTTCTGGAGCCCTCCACTACAGCGTCTCTCATAATTATGGGGTGTTTTAGTGTCATTAAGCATTCTATATCAGTCAATCATCTTTTCCAGCCAATCAAAATGCAGGACATATTATTAGCAAAGCTAGATAACACTGAAAGGGCAAACGAACTTACCAAACAGTAGTATTGCACTTTCGCTTACTGCTGCCTAATAGGACACTTATTAGAATCGTACACAGTTTTGTGGTGTTCAGCTTCTGTGATATTGGGTGAGCTCGTGACATGGTACCTGGTGATCTTTCTAATGACTACGTTCCTGTGCAGTTCTGCACCCTGGAGGGATTCATCACGGCTGTAGTCGACGAGTGGCCGCGGCTACTCCGACCGCACAAGGAGATCTTCATTGCGATCGTCTGCTTTGTTTCCTACCTAATAGGGCTCAGCTTCGTCACACAGGTGAGAAAAATTCATTGCACATTTGCTTTCGGGTACATCGCGCACAATGGTATCCAGCCGACGCAATATGGGAATAACACGGCCCAATGAAGACGCATTGAATACACGACATAGAGAAACACCAGCTATAAATGAGAATTGTGAGACCATAATCAATTCGATTGAAGTCACACCTTTGATACACTAACAAGCTATATGCAGACGGAATCTTTCTTGTTTATAGCTTCGAGCCCGTGTCATTAGGTGCAGTTTTGTGCAAAAATAGGCAAACAACGACGCAGTAATGATACTCATCCTGGTCATTGTACATGATGAGTCCTTGTGCTTTTATTCAAGCATGGAGACACATTTACCTTGACGTTGCAGCAATAGGACCACAGCGTCCACTGCTACATGCTGCATGGCACTAGAAAATTGGGAGTTTGTTTGCAGCCATCTTCTTGAAACAGCGCTTGCTCCGATCTAAAAAAAAAAGCTATAGACTGAAAGGCACCGAGACCAGAAAATCTAAACTGATATCACTGACAACTGTTTTATGAGAAAGAACTTGGTATCCCAGGTAACTCTTAGCACATGAATGAGCTACACTGATAACACACGTAAAAATGACAAATGGCCTTGAGTTAGCAAAATCTTCTAAAAAGTTTGAATTTTTATTATAAGTTCAAAGGCGGCACACTAACACACTTGACAAGTTTTAGTTATGCAATGCGCCTTCAATAGTTCTCCAAACACCTGGATTCTACTTTTCCCAAGTAAGTTGGTGTTAAATAACGGGGCGCGCAAGCGCAAAACTTGCAGCCCAGTGGAAAGTGGAATTTCGATACACTGATAAGAGGGCTTCTAGTTAGATCAATTGAACACTAAACATTTGCCACTTGGGGCAATATGTTACCGCAGGAAAGGGGTATTTCATGCGCCACCATATGCGCACTCTTCTGAAAGCTGTAGCTAGCCTCGTAAAGGCAAAAGTTTTTGTTTCTCAGAATGGTTCAGGGATCGTTATCTATTTCTTGAACAAAGAACGGCTTCATTTTACTTAGACCAGACAAAGAGGGTAGTTTCGTCACCATACAAAGTGCTAGCGTCTCTGGACAAGGTGCAGCAAGCGATTCCTAAGAACTTCGCTACCACCAATTTGAATCTCGCCAAGGTTAAACGGCATGCTGTACAGTTGTGTGGTGACCAGAACATGCTGAAGCTGGCGAAGGCGGTGAAGTAGTGTAAAGGTACTAGTTTAGCAGTCTTTTGCCGCCAAGGCCCAAATGTTGGAAATCCTCTTCCGTGTCTTTGTGAGCATACGTGGTGCGTAGCTAACATTGACTGCCTTCTTTCATTCCATTGATACAATACTAGGCTAAGCTATGCTGTGCTAGTGTGCTTGGATAGCAGAACGGTTAGGACTGCTGCCTTCAGATCTCCAATAGTGGTTTTGAATTCCGCCTCATGAAGGCTTTTTTCGACAAGAATTCCTGTTCTGAATACTTGTCTTTTTCTTTCTTCCTCTCTCTGTAATCGTTCTTTTACCCAAGATGATTATTACAAACCACACTGGAGAAACCAGTGCGCGTGGTCTATAGACAAACATAAAGAGGGTGTGGAGAGAGTGCGCCCGTTCATAAGGGTGATCATCTCTGTTTCCGACAGACAAATGACAATGAGCTTCGACAGCTGCACTGTTAGAGAATCCCCAACCAAGCACTCCGTTTAGACGCTGAACCAGTGGAACGTGCTGCCCAGGTCTTAGGCAGCCGGTTAGTCCGGTTAGTCAGAACGGTGTAAGGAAGCGTTTCTCAGTTATTCATTACGTATTCGCGTTTCCTAATGAGGGTACACAGATGTTCGTCTTGGGTTCAGCACAGTGTTTACTTGATATGTCGCACACAGTGCCTCCATTTCTGTGTCGACATGTGGGAGTGCAATGAGCGATTATTTGTTCAGTATATACTGCCCATAGGTCAAAGTGGTCAGTACCGGTTTTGCGTATTGTTACCCGGTGACACACTCACGCCACGCGTTTTAACTTGACTCGTTAGCTGTCTGTACGAAATGCTTGGGTGGAGATATCGCTTACAAAATGTGATGTCACTGTTTTTATATCATGGGGAGAGAATAGGACCACATAAATGAACCAGTTGGCAAGCACAACAAAATAGAGGGAACCGTACGCTCCGCTTTTAAAAGCTGAAAGCGGTGGTCATATCCAGCTCGTAGTGCATACTTCAACCTCTTAAGGCGTATTTTTTTATTTCATGATGTTACTCGACAAGTTGAAACTTTGTATACCTACTATACAATCGATAGCTTCGCCGTGGTGGTCTAGTGGCTAAGGTACTCCGCGGCTGACCCGCAGGTCGCGGGATCTAATTGCGGATGCTGCAGCTGAACTTTCAATGAAGGCGAAACTTTTGTACGCCTGTGTGCTCAGATATAGGTGCACGTTAAAAATACCCAGGTGGTCGAAATTCGTGGAGCCCTCCACTACGGCAGCTCTCATATTTATATGGTAGTTTTGGAACGTTAAACTTCCCTTGTCAATCAAATGAATTCGTATACAGTCGACAAAGTTGGAAGTAGCTTGTGCCATTGAAGCTTTCGCATATGGGTGCGTTCTGTGTCATGGGCATTATCCTTCGAAGCACGAAAAATTGTGCTCGTGACATCCTTTCAAGTTTGCTGTGCACCCACTCCTGCTCTTAAGAGGAATACGGGAAGTAGCATGTGCACGAAGTCGTTTGACATTCGCATGTTCTGGCGCTTAATGGCAATGGACGCTTGTACAATGTCATACCTTTTCTATATTTATTTATTGTATTTTACTTGGGTAAATACTGCCTGTCCGATTGCCAGACTTACAAGGCAGGGATAGGCGGAACAGTGAACAGAACAATATGCAGGAAGTACAAAAAAATGAGCAGCATATACAGCTGTGAATATGATATGTAGAAAAAAAAGAACGCGTTGCTTCACAAAAGACGAAACAGAAAATGCAGTCCGCAATTGTCGTGCCATACAGAGCAATACTAAAAACTGCACGAGAGAAGTTCTCGGCAGATATTGCTGTGCACAAAAAAAAAGGTGAAGTACAAGTATAGTGGGCAACAATGCAAAACGTACATCTGGACATGTTATTTGCAAGCGTGGCTATACGGTAAGGCGAACATTTTGACTAAGACTGAGCTGGGCACAAGAAGAATGGCATTGTAAAAGAAAGGGAAGTGCAGCTGTCGGAAAGATGGGGCAGGTAATGCGCGGAGAAATGATCTCAGGTCAACACTTTCCAGAGACTCTGGTGGCAATTTGTTCCCCTTGTTGATTGAGCGGGGTAAAAATATACTTGTATATGTCAGTATGACAAAGGAGCTCACCTATTCCTTTAGAGTGAGAGGAGCACGTCTTGTGGCGCGAAATTGATTCAATGCAATTGGTTTTCTGAATTGCTAGCTTGTCTTTATATGTGAGGTTTAACAACTTCATTATTTTGTGGTAACGTCTCAATTGCAAAGTTTCGAGTTTAGCGCTTTTCAAAAGAGGTAATGAAGATGTAATGTGTCGGTGGGCACTAAACACGAAACGTACAGTCTTTCGCCGTACTAATTACAGTTTGTCTATGTTAACTTGTCCGTGGGGGTCCAATACAGACGACGGGTATTCTAGTAACGGTATTACGTATGTTTTACATGTGAGAAGCTTAGTGTCACGAGTTGCTTTAGCAAGTATCCGTCTTAAGTAACCTAGTTTCATCAGAGCCTTTTTTTCATTGTAATTCATATTATTGTTCTATCTCAAATTAGATTTGAATATAACGCCAATGTTCGTATGTTGCAAAACTAATGACAAGGAGTGATTGCGTGGATTGTATTCAAATTTTAAGGGATCTTTTTTGTAGGTTATTGTCATCGCAACAGTTTTTTTTTTCGAGTTCATGTTCATTTGCTATTTCTTACACCGGTCCTGAATTTTATCTAATAAACTGTTTAAAAGAAGCTGGTCTCTAGAATTGTACATTTCTTGATAAAGCACGCAGTAATTTACAAAAAGACGTATCTTAACCGGTGTATCCCATCGCGAACAATAACATTTATAAAAATCAAAGAGAAAACAAGCCCCAAAACGGATCCCTGTGGTATGCCGGATTGAATTGGCGCGGACATTGGTTCCACCGAGCGTGAGGCACTGGTACGTGCAGCTCAAATAAGCTTCGATCCCGAAAAATAAAAAGTCATTTTCAAGATTTGCTTTAATTTGATCAGTAGCTTTCTTTTTGGCTTTGTTTCTCTAGACCAAAAGCAAGGTCATGTACCATTTCAAGCAGTTGTGTAACTGTCGATAAACTACGTTGGAAGCCATGCTGACGACTGTCTATTATGTTGCTGCTTTCCATGCACGGGGAAAGGTGCTTTTATTATATGCTGAATAACTTTAACGCATGCGCATAACGTCGACATTTGTCTGTACGCGCCAGGTGTGTACTGATTTGCCTTTTTTGTATGGGAGTTATTTTGGCATAACGCCTGTCATGAAAAAGTTCTGCTCAAGAAAGCGATTTTCGAAATATTAGGCCATTCTGCGTAGCGGCCCACAAAGACATTGGGTATGTTGTCAGTCCCACTGGTATTCATATTGTTTAACTTGAGCAGGAGGGAAAATACGCCCTCTTCCTATATTTCTATGTTCCCAATCGGCGGCAAATCATCAAACAAAAGAAATTCAGTTTCCGTGTCATTATTTTAGAGAAAACTGAACAGAAGTATTCATTGAGTATGCGCGATGTTTTTCAGCTGTTAGTTTCAGGATTGCTGTCTATGACAAGAGTATACGTGCCGATTTTGAATGCGAAGCATTTCTTAGTGAACTTCGGCGACTTTCAGCGTATCTATCTATCTATCTATCTATCTATCTATCTGTCTGTCTGTCTGTCTGTCTGTCTGTCTGTCTGTCTGTCTGTCTGTCTGTCTGTCTGTCTGTCTGTCTGTCCCCGCCACGTTGGTCTAGTGGCT